AAGTGATCGACAAGCTGCATATTTAATTAGTAAATCCATTTGACCCCCCTGATTCCGGAAATGACCAGTGACTGTTATGCGCATATTATGCCGCAGCATAATCCTGGACACTCTAATTATGCGCATATTATGCCGCAGCATAATCCTGGACACTCTAATGCTGATCAACATTTTCTCCCTTTGTCGCGTCTACGCGTTTCACTACTTTTTATTTTGTCGCTCGTTACGAATAAACCAAATCTTCTCTTGCTACAGTATTCTAAATGACAGGTTTGTCTCGACTTAAAAGGTTCTTGTTTAATATGTCTACTTTAAATGCTGACTGTTTCCACAGAAAAAAGGTACAACGAGTATTTTGATTCTTTTAATACCGAGCCCAATCATTGGTCACTTGTTGACTTTGATTTATGGGCAATATCAAATGTCGCCGGCGTACAGCAAAAAATAGCCCACCAAGCGTTTTACAAATATTTAAATCGTGTTCTTGATGAATCATCCACCCAAGAACATATTATGTACGCTCGTCGCCTCCTGAATAATAAAAAGGTAAGTTGTTTCAAAACACATAAAATGGAAAATCGCTTTGCAAACCTCCGCCGAGTACGTCTCGAAAGGGGTCGAGTGCGTCTCATGCAAACTTGCCGAATTGGGAGACCTTCTCATAAGTACGTCTTAAGAGATTGATAGCCACATTCTACCTAATCACTTGCTGCCCTTTACTGATTGCGGATTGGGAGGGTGGGCAAGCGGAGATTCTCCACTTACTTTTTGCCAACATTTTTGCTCTACGTTTCCTTGCGTCCAATCATGTTGCTAACACCCTTTCCTCTTTCCTTCACGTTGGCAAGGAGAATATCAAATCGATCAGAAACCTTTGGAAAAACAAAGCAGTCCTCGGCAAGGTGAATCAGGCTGTAGAAATGGTTAAAGCGCATAATATGCTTGACCGAGTTACGAAAAACCGTGTCGAAGAACTTATTGATTATGAGATGAGAGTAAGTCAATTATTAACGGTTGATTTATTGTATGGAATAGCTCTAATGCTTATGCTGGTTCAGCCCCAAAATGACAAAGATGACGAAAATCCCTTCCTAGATTATGACGAAAATCTTCTGCAGGTATTGAGATGCGCAATTTCTTTTTAATTTCGCCCACAAATTCAGTGCTAGCAATGAGCTTACGGAAATATAATTGTCTATTTGTCTAATCAAGGATGACGTCAATAAGGAGAATGAGACGGTAAGCATATCGCAATTACAAAAGATTTAAGTAAGATTTTTCAGGCTAATGATGATATGAACAACAAAGGGAGTATCAGGGGACAATTTTCCAGATTTCGGACGTCAAATGAAAAAAAGAAGAACGGAATGGCTTTCGACTCCCCATAAGCCAATTCTCACTCTAGACATGTTCGATATAATGATTCCGAAAGTTGTTCCAGGAATGAAATCCCTAAAAAAGGTTGTTGCTGAAAAATTCTTTGATATAGCTAACGAAATTGAATATCACGAGAGAGAACAGAAACAATTAACTAGTTTAGGAAAGGTGCTTTCAGAATGGCTACGAAAAGTGTTGTCGGTATGTATTCAATAGTCACTTGTGCTGAGTACAGTATACCTTGCTAACCTGATATTTACATACTAGTCGTTCGATGGAAAAGAGCTACCCAAACATCTTTCACAGCCACTTCAAGACTTAACAAACCGTGAACAAAAACTACGAGATATATTTGAGACAACGTTACAGGAATTGTGAATATCGATCCTTCTTTATTATCATTTATGGTGTAATATATCTTTCTCACGTTCGACCTGTTCTTGTCTTCAGCTTTATGATGATAAAACATTGTCAAAATCATAGGCTCCCTAGGCACAATTCGGAGAGGAAATTTTTGGTGGAAAGGGTGATAACGCCATTCAAATTAGTTGAATACATGTTTGGTGACGTCACAATGTTCTGGTAAGCTTCTGGATTATTTCGATGTTATAACAATATGAAAAGTACCAAATTTTTCATGCTATAGGATAGAAAAGGAAATTATGTCGACTAAAGCCGTGGAGTTTGTCGACGATCCCACTGGAGAATTAACGATCAAGAGAGCTGATGCTCTCGGGATAGACCTCGTGTACAATACTGATGTCATGAATATGGAGTCTTCTGGTGGTCCATTGCAACAAAATCGTAAGCACACGCTTGGCGACTCAAAGAAAATAACTGATACAGGTGCAGATATTCTTTACGCCTGCCTTCGAAAGTACCTCGATGCTAGTATCGAGACAGCAATGAAACTGAAAACATACAGTATGCAGATAATCGGTATGTAAATCTCTTGCAATGCATGACAATGGCGTGTTAATATTAAATAATTTTTCTTACAGAGGATCGTATAACACTCATTGAAATATCTCTCTACAAACCCCGGGTCTTCAAGGCAGTTGAGGTCCGAAGTGCTGTCTTCCCATTTGCGTTGCGTTCTGTAGGAGAGTACATGAGAGTGTTCGAGCTTATATCGTATTTTGTGGTATGTTTAGGCAATGTATGGATCCGATTCTACCAAATTCACTAACATTTTGTGCTCGCTTAGGATGGATTGATAAAACGCCGAGAAATAATGTATAAACTATCTAATGAAGCGAGTGGCCTAATGGAGTTAACCTCAGAAAGTTTGAAAAACTGGTGGGGTGAAGAATGAATAACCACTATATATCGAACATCAGGGAATTTACTGTGCTTTTATGCAATTTTTTAAATTTTACCAACAAGGGGTGGGGAAGAGAAACTTAGACCTAATCCATTCTGCCAGATTCTAATAAATCATTCACTCACCGAAAGGTCTCCGTAAAATTTCGAAAATTTTATAGTGATGTTACCCAACAGTTTTAGTTTACCCTTGTATAATAAGAACCTAAAAAAAAAAAATTTAAAATATAATTTACCTTAATAGCATGATCGACCGATGTAAAAACATTTTTTCATATAAGCAAACTAGAATGTAACGAATTAACCATGCCTATTCAAAAAGTTCAAAACTTATCATCATTATTTTTTGGTGAGAATGAATGTGTCTGTTACTGGAAAGTTGGCAGACATATATATATTGTAGTGTAATGGTTCCGATAAGGCAATATATTAAAATTATAGTTTTCAGTTGAAAATACAAATTCTATTTCAAAATGTTAATCAAGTTATCGTTATCGTGAATTATGAATTAATGCATGCTTATATTTCACAAAGTATACGTAATATTGATTCATTATTCTATATATCTATTTATTTATATTGAGGCTCAATGCTTACAAATGAATGCAAAAGTAGTTGCGCATATTTCATCAAGGAAAATCATTTCATTTTTTAATAATCTTTCTCGATTGCATGCAATATGTGAAAATGTCTAAGTAACGATATGGTCGGATTTTAAAATATCTATCCTTCTTATCCAAATCTATGTTTTAGAATTAATTCAGAAATTTTTTAGCGTGGCATGTCCTTTTGAAATTTATCGCAGTTTGAACTTAACAATATCAAAACCTATATATTTAAAATTATAAAGTTAGCAAACGTTCTGATTAAATATTTATACTGTTATCCTTAGCAATATATACTTTAACACTTGCATATAATGCTTTCACCTGATAGTGCTGTCAAGACACCAAACGTAGAAACTCCAATTTGATCCTACACCATATCGATATACTTGAACAAGACATTCTGTTGGTTTGCTTTACTTTCACCTTCACCGTGTTGTCCTCAAAGCGAATTAACCCCACTAATAAAAATAATGTCTTAACTTTTTTAATTACTTTTGATTGCTTGTAATTTGTGTTATAAAATGATTTGCCAAACTTACTTTTGATTCCACGTGGCTTATCACATTTAGAATATGCATTATGAGATTTGGCGAACTTCTAGAATCTGACAAATATTCATATTTCCATTAGAATTAAAATTGATTCTTCAGGTTCTTGTTGGCTAATTACTATATATGTTGTTGGTGTATGATTAAGGATATATAATTATTCAGAAGACTTAATTAAATTGAAATATTCTGTTTCAAGAGAAGATTGTATTAGATTAATAATTTTTCCTTCAAATTCATCTGACTCATTTGTCTTTTTGCTATTTTCCTGTTCATTTTTATTTAACTCTAAATTATCTTTAGTAGTAACTTTTCCATAAAGTTCATCTAATTTAGCAAATCTGGATAATTCTTTAGCTATTTATTCAATTGAATTATTCTTTTATAATTTCATAATTATTGTTATAGTCTTTTTTTAAAATTAATAAGGTAGGAAAATGATTGTATTAATTATAATGCATTTTAAGAATATTTGCAAAACTATTTACATTTTCAAATGCAATTTTAATTGCTTTTGTAATATCATCATTGAAAAAGTGTTTCAATATTAATTTTAGATACAGTAGCGGTCATAAGTATCCGACCCCTCATAATTCTTAAAGTTAATTAATAATATCTATTAAATTTTTTTTAA